TCAGATCTTCACATCTATTTCTTACTCTCTCAGTCACAGATCATCACTGAGATGATTTGATATGTCACTTCTCTGACTATATCATTTGAAAGTGCAGCACTGACCTTGAGAGGTTGAAGTTTGTAAGAGATAGTATTCATGACTATCTTACTATAGTCACACATTACTTTCATCTACAACTTGCAATCTTTAAGAAAAAGATTCTAGACCTGAAATTCAAAATCCTAGATCACTGAACTTGTTATAAGTGATAAGACTGTGGATCAGTGCACTCACATAGTGTATTTTAATGTAAGAATGCACTGAATTCTGAACTTGATATGAATAAAGACTCTCATCAAGCCTTTGCTGACTACTGAAGTCTCATTATTACAGCTGAGAATTCTGAGCCTAATCACACTCAGTCTGAAGATGTATAATTATCTCTTTCTCTCAGTCATTCTGATTAGATGAATGTCATTGAACATTTATCTGCAGTTCTCAACTGTGTTTAATATCATCACTGTAGTGAAAAGTACTGTATTTATAAATACTGAGTCACTGACAATCTACATTGCTGATTTCACTTCTCACATGAATGCTGAACTGACTGTGCTATTCTCAAATCTTTGAGTAGTAGATATTACTGACTGCATCTCTGTTGTAACAACCTAATTCTTAATAACTACAACAGATTGATTACAGTTAGCTGACTAGTAAATACTGACATTGTTCTCTGCACTGGCAGTCATGCTATTCTTGATTATCTGTCTAAGTACATTGTCAAGGTCAAAACAGACACAGAATCCTATCATCAGATTGTTCAATAAGTGATTTCAAGAGCTAGTTCAAGTCACTCACTACTCTCTACAGTTGTTAAACTTATGAATCAGCTCATTGATGAGTGCGATTGATCTGTTCAGAAGATTTATCATCTTCTTTTAAATCTTTCTTTATAAATGAGTTCTCACAAGTCAATTGCAGTTGATTGTCAGCTCAAATCTTAACATCATCATAGCTATATTCTTGAATCTGATAAATTATAATATGATTCATTCTTTTTGAAAAAATATAAGCAGTAGTCAACTGAATTTGAAGATCTTTCATTTCTTGAATTTCTTCAAATCTTTTCTCACAGTCATTAAATTAAGAGATATCTCTGTGCAAAACTCTGAGTGTTGATCTACTTTTCTATTTATCAGTTCAAAACTGATTCAGAGAACTATACTCATATCAAACTTCTTCTTCATCACTCTTTTCATTAAATTGAAGATCTCAAGATTGTTGATCTTCTCATCTCTTGACCCTCTTTTACAGAGATCTTTAATTATTATCATCTTTCTCATAATCACTCAGTTGATGCCTATGATGAAGACATACTGGAATCAGAACCTGAGTTTGAAGATGATCAGAATGATGAAGAGAAGCTTGATCTCTCTTAAGTATTACTCACCTGTCAAAATTCACAGTATGATAATGATGATCTCATTGATATCTGAAACTGTGAACAGCTTGATCATCAGTTCTTAGATTTCAACTATGATTGAAGCTCTCATGTTGACACTTATATCAATCTTGACATAGAATTTTAAAACAATATGAAGACTGACTTCTCTGCAGACACTACTCTTCATGAATATGACTCACTCAAGACTCTAGACTCTGATCAACATCTTCTTCATGACACTATTCTCTATCATTATACTGAGATTCTTAACAGCAGATTTCTGAATCCTTTGCTAATTAATCTAGATAATGAAGATGACACTGATAAAACTTATCTGATTATGATTTTATCTATAACTCTTCAAAATCTTGCAGAGGCTCAAGATCTCTCAATCTCAATCATTCAAGCTGTGTCAACTGATATAGCTGCTCACTTTATTAACACTCAAACCTTGCATGTGTTATTTCAGCTTCTTATACACAAGAACATGTTATATGAACTGCTCAACTCTCAAAATCTTCAATCTTTGCAGACTCTTTTTAAGAATGTTCACTATCTGTTAATTGATGAAAAGTCAATGATTGATTTACAGCAACTCTCATGAATTGATCAGACCTGTCATTACATATTCTCTCATAAGAATGCTCATTTTGATGGTCTCAGTATTATTCTCAGTGAAGATTTCTATCAGCTCTCATCTGTTTTTCAAACTTCACTCTATTATAACAGACATATTGATTATAAAGAAGACATTCAGAGCCATCAAATCTACTTAGCTTTTAGTAAAATCATTCAACTTACTGTGATTCAATAATAAGTGAATGAAGATGTCATCAGCTGTCAGTTCTGTGAGACCTTGAAAAATCTTTGTCTTGATCAGTTAACTCTGAATGATTGAGAGTTTCTTTCAAAGCATGTGCAGGCTCTTATTCCTCATAAAGTCTCAGTCTTTGAGAATGCAATTCACATTTATACAAAGAAGTGTCATATTCATGTCTATAATGATGATACTATTCAAAGCTGTAAACAACCTGTTATTAATATTCAGATCATAAATGTTAATATAGACACTTCTCAGTTAGATTCTGATAAGACTGATAATCTTCATTAGAATCTTTCTCTCTTTATCAGCTACTGAATCATACTTCTACAGAATATTTAAACAGACTGCAGCCTTATTAACAGTGCTCTTGAGACTCTTCATAACATTGTATAAAGTTCAGATGTGAAGAATTCTTATCAAGATTCTTCATTTACACTGCTAATTAATTTTAACAAATATAACAGCTCTGCTTATTTGAAATGAGAGAATCTTAAACTTGTGTCTATCTTCTGCAGCTGTCATGACTTTTCTCATGTTAATCAAGTCTGCAGCTACACACAGTTCTCTATTACAGTTGCATATACTATTACTGTTTATAAATCTCAAGGATTATCACTTGATCAGGCCATTCTTGATATTTCTGAGACTGAATTTCAGACTGATCTCACATATGTTGTGATTTCACAGATCAAAACATATCAAGGTCTTCTATTTGAACAATTCTTTGATTATTTCAGATTTCATCAGTCTGATGATGGAGTAAGCAGAAGCATGCAGATGTATGAGATTGATTATACAAGATATCAAAGTTAACAGATAACTAAGTTATATTTCTTTTCTTTTTATAGATCTCTGTTAATCTATATTTTATATAGTTTCATTCACTCTTTATTTCATCTTTTTCATAGTTTACATTTGATCTGTTCATTCACTTATTCTTTATTACTGTAAGTTCTTTATTCTCTGTTCTATCATTCTCTCTGTCTGTTCTACTTACAGATTCACTGAATTCAATCATTGAATTTAATGAATCTATTACAGTCAATTCTATTATAATCACTGAATCTGAGAATGAGTAATTAGCAGTCTACAGAAGGTATTGAAACAATCTGAATATTGATTTATACAGCTCAGATTTAATATAATGACATTTTTGACCTGAGAGATCAAGAATCTTCTGAGGTCTGTGTTATTGAGATCTGTGTTGCATTATGTGATAAGAGATATTGAATTCTTACAGTCATCAACACATGTATGAGAGAAAGTGAATGAATTTCAGAGTGTTCTCTTTCTCTTTGAAGAATTCATCTTATCTCTCATCTCTCATCTCTGTCAGCTGTTTTTTTTTTTTTTTTTCAGAAATCATGTTATTTATCTCTATTAATTCATCAGAAGTTCAAAAAATCATCAATACTGTTATTATAGCTGAAAACAACATCTTGAAACACATTCATTGTAAGTAAGATTCTTAAAATAATGAAAATTGTAATTCTAACAGTCAGTATAGTTCTCAACAATCTTGTTCAGTCTGTCAAGCTATCAGCTGTTAATCTTATTCTCAGTTCTGTATCTGTGTCTGTGCCTGCCTCTGCTGTGTCTGTCAGTCCTAGACTATTAAGTCAACTGTTGACTCATTTGACTGAAAGAATGTCTGAGAAGCTGTCAAAGAAGCTACAGACTCTCATCAAATTATTCTGTGCTTGTAAGTCAGTCTTATAAGAGAGTTATCAGATTAATACAAAAATCAATACAAATTATAAAGCTCTTCTTCTACAATTCTGTGATACTGTTTTTACAGTTCTCTGCAGTCACTGTGTCAGAGAAGAAGACTCTTTTATCATCTGTATCAGCACTCTGAATCAGTGTCATGAAGCTTGTACCAGTTGTCATTATAATAGCACTGAAAGTCACTGCTCTTATCATAGAAGTGAGTTACTTTTCAATATAAAATATATCAATTTCAATACAATTAACTAATAGTTATATATAGTCAATGTCAATAAGAAGAATGATAAAGTGAAAGAAAAGAAGCAGAAGAATGAAAAGAGAAAGAAAGTTAAGAAGAAGAGTTTATTCAAGAAGCACTCTATGACTGAGAATACAGAGACTAGAGTCTTGAAAAAACAGATGACAAGTGTTGAGTCAGTTGATGATCATGATATTGAGATTTTGACTCTTTGTGTTGAAAATGAGGCTCTGTGCAAGAAGAATGCAGCCCTGAAGACCAAATTCAGGACTATTACAAGCCTTCTTCAGGTCACTCAAACTGTTCTTAAGAATGACATATGAGCTGGCAGGGCAGGGCAGGGTGTTTTTTGTTTTTTTCCTTGCTTAGTTAGCTGATGCTTTTGCACTGAAAAATGAATCTCTATATGTTTTTACAGTTCTATTCCTTCTATTATTATTAATAATAAGCTGTAAAATCAATCTTGCAGGGCCTTCTGTTTTGAGCTTAGCTCTGCAATGTCTTTGCACACAGAGGCTCGTGTGCATTAAGATATTTTTATTTTCTATTTTGTATCTTTCCCACCTAACTAAATAACTTCCTACTTATTATTCCCTTTCCACTCCACCAAACTTCTTCTACTCCTACTGACTCCTACTGCTGCTTCGTCGAACATCTCCCTGCCCTCTTTCTTCCCTCCAAAATTCCATGATTAACCATCCCATTACTTCCCCCCCCATCTCCCGTGGCTGTGGTTGCGTGAGAGTCGTGTGCTCTCGTCGGCACCCCGTTATCCGCCCTCCATAATGAAGCGCTCATCCCCAGCTTTCCCTACCCGACACGCCTCCTTCCCCACTGCCAGTGGTCACCGAATCATGCTGCCGTCTGCCCGCCGTAGCATGAGGTTATTGATGATGGCCGTGCTTGGGGTGGTGTTTTTAATATGTTACTTGAGTGTAAGTACAATACATATCTAACTTCTGGCATTGGGGAGGGAGGGCGCGGGGGGCGGGCCGCACGCGCGATGATCGGGATATAATTAATTGAGGCTGCCCCGCCCGCGCCGCCCGCCCAACCGTCCCGTCCAACAAAGAATTTGTTTAACTACTCTACATACACTGCCACGCATGCATGGACACGATAACTGATCAACTGCGCGGCATGACGACATTATATATAAAACATAACAGGCCAACGCAAGTCGAATCCAGAATGAAGAATTCTACCAACAAACCGTCGAGGCGATAGATGCCAGAGCCTCGCGGAGACTCGGCGAGATGAGCGGCGGCGGCGACGACGACGAGAACCTCTTCCAGAAGCTGCGGACGACCAAATTGGCGCCGGAGGATAGGCAGGCGATCGCGGTTGAGCGGCAGAGATATGAGAGCCCGCTAAAGATGACGCCTCCTGGTAGCGGTGGTGATGGTGGTGATGGTGGTAGTGGTGTTGGATCAAATGAGAAGTCTATCGCGGGGAGGAAGAAGATGCCTGCCGTCTCGCAGCCTGCATTATCGGAGAGTAATCATGAGGAGAATCTGGAGGTGGAGGCGGAACTTAATGCTATTCTTAAGAGGTCGCCTGGTATGTTTCCCGCCCCCTTCTTTGCCCGTTATCACAAGCCATGCCAGTACTTTGCTCTCTTTCTTTCTTTCTTTCTTTCTTTCTTTCTTTCTTTCTCTCCGCGAAATACAACCGGAAAAAAAAAGAAAAGTACCATACCTAACAAATCCCACCACCACCATCCAACAGTCATAATATTCTCCAAATCCTACTGCCCCTACAGCCACAAAGCTAAATCCATCCTCCAATCCAAATACACCATCACCCCCGGCCCCTTCGTCGTCGAGCTCGATATGCACCCTCTCGGCCCGCAGCTGCAGGAGGTCCTTGGGCGCAACACCGGCCGCAGAACCGTGCCAAACGTCCTCGTCAATGGCATGACCATCGGCGGCGGAGATGATATCGAGGACCTCGATGTTACGGGCCAGTTGGCGGCGAAGATAAAGACTCTGGGCGGGAAGAGGGTTATGGAGATGCGGGTGAGGGATCAGGGGACGTCGCTTTGATTTTGGATGAATTCTCTCTCTCTTTCCTTCCTTCCTTCCTTCCTTCCTTCTTTCTTTCTTTCTTTTCTCTTTTCTTTCGGTCTTCCCTTTTAACGGATGGACAGAAGGTAGAACATGGTTTCTCCCTCCCTTAGTTTCATTTCTCCCCCTTCCAGCCCTAAATCCCGCCCCCTCCAAGGGCCCCAACCCCAACACTAGGAGCCTCCACGCAATGATTGGCATGCCATGAGTCTATAATATGCGACACACCACGATACGAGGGATAAGAACGAGATTCGCATGAAAGAGGAATTTCAGATATATTTGCTTTTATCTGTTGTTTTTTATGTTGTTTTTTTCTTTTTTGGTTTTACATCCGCAGTCTAGTTTTATCCGCGTTACGGTTTCACGGCGTTCTGGGAAATTTTCTTCCTCTTCTTCTCCTCCTCCTCGTCGCTTTCCTTCTAAAACGAAGAAAATAGAGGGCAGTGAGATTCATGACATAAACTTGAGCTTAGTGGACAGTTCGGTATGGCCTGGTTCTGGTTCTTGTTCTGGTTTAAAGAGCTTTATATTGTTACTGCATGCATTTTTATTGCAGCTATCGTATAATGTATATGGGTACCTATGTGTACTCGATTAGATATATATCAGTATTATTGGGTTTATGATTGTTTTGAAAAGGGAGAAGGTTCTCTGAGACGGTGGAGAGTAGTGTCCAGACGAGAAAAACTGGACTCTACGCTGTGCCGAGAGATGTATATAGAGATGCCAATTTGAAGGTAGGTACGCGATTGATTGATCTGTCTAGGAACAACTACATTGGGGCATATTCTCTAATTTCTCGAGACTCTCCAAAAGCATATGGCACCTCAGTCCCTTTATAACCGGATGATGACGATGATGATTCTGGTATCTCAGGGCTTGTTCACAATGAATTGATCCAACCCAACCCTAGCCACCACCCACGCTAAACCCAAAACGCAACCTAAGCGACACACCCGAGGACCAACCCGCACAACGCTGACATAATCAACCCTTCTCCGAACCCAACTTCCCACCAGCAAAATATCGCAAGGGCGAAACTAACTGTGCGTGAGTTTTGCTGCGAGAGAATTGTGCGTATCTCGAAGACGAACAACGCCGACGACGACGACCAACGACCACCACCACCAACCCCCCCCCCTTCCCTCGCCTCCTTCTTTTTTTTTTTTCTTCTTCTTTCTTTCTTCCCTCAACCAACTCGGCCTGTTTTCCCCCGCGAGAGACGCCCCCGTCGTCGTTACAGATTCAAGATGTACTACGTCTACTCCCAAGAGACGCTGCCGATTCCGGATGACGGTGAGAGATTTGGATTGTTTTTTTTTTTTTTTCTTTAGTCTTCGTTTTTTATGGTTCTGGCTTTTAGAAACCCCCCCCCAAGGTCTCCCCGTCTTCTGTCCACCTACCCAATCCTAGCTTTGCGCGCGCGTGTGTGTGTGTATATGTGTGCGTGCGCTTGAGTGCATAACCTGTGGGCTGGAGCGGATATGGGACGAAGGCGGATACGAATTGAGAGGAGGGGAGCGTATGTGTGTGTGTGTGTGTGTGAAGAGGGACACATTTGCTACCGTTGGGGAGAACAGGGGATGAGGTGGATGATTGGATGGAGGGGGTATGTTGCGAATGGGGATCAGGCACAGAATTCAATGGCGAAATTTTTTTTTTTTCGCGCGCGCGGCTACGATTTCACGATCTACGATGGACGGGATTGATGATTTTTAAAAAAAGCAAACTTGATATATTCGATGATTTTTTCGATATTCTTTTGGGCGGCTGGAAACAAATAAGGGGAAAAAAGTTATATTCTGGGCAAATTCGATTCGATAACAGACACAGACACAGACATAGCACCTACGCACCACACACACGTACACACATACGCAAACAACGCTACACACGTCGCTTTTGTATATTGCTTTGTCTAGAGGAGGCAGGGAATCTGAGAATATGATGTGCTGACCAGCTGTTTTTGCTTCGACGATTTATAGTGAAGGTGCACATCCGCTCGCGGGTCGTCACCGTTGAGGGACCACGAGGTATGCATCTCTCCTCCTCTCTACGTGTGGTTTGCGAAGGGATATTCCGGAGCATACCATATAAAATCACTCCCGTCTCAAAAAAAAAAAAAAAGGAAAAAGAAAAAAATCTGACCCAAACCAAACAGGCAAACTCGTCAAGGACCTCTCGCACGTCTCCGTCTCCTTCAGCATGCCCAAGAAGAACGTGCTGGCCATCGAGATCCACCATGGCTCGCGCAAGGCCGTTGCCTCCCTCAGAACAGTCCGCACCGTGATCAACAACCTTATTATCGGCGTCACCCGCGGCTTTAAATACAAGATGCGCTACGTCTATGCCCATTTCCCCATCAACGTCAACATTGAGAATAACAAGGAGACGGGACTTGCTGAGGTTGAGATTCGGTATGTATTTGTCTCTTTCCTTTTCCTTTTATATATATATGTATATTTCTTTTCTTTTCTTTCTTTTCGTCTTTTTATGAATGTTTTCGCTTTTCTTCGCTTGCGATTGGTTGGTGGGGGGTTTGCTGCTATATATTTCTTTTCAAAGACCATGCTGCAGATATAGGTTGAGCAGATTCAGGGTCAGGGAAAAAAGAAACGAGCAAAACGTGATGCCGTTAGACGAAGGATGGGATCGAACAACATGGAAAACACACGAAAATAGCTAATCTCTTCCTGCCAAAACAAATAGAAACTTCCTGGGCGAGAAGAGAGTCCGCCGCGTCATCTGCCAGCCCGGTGTCGAGATCATTACCTCCGCCAACGTCAAGGATGAGATCCAACTTTCTGGAAACTCGCTGGAGGGTGTTTCACAGAGCGCTGCTGATATCCAACAAATTTGCCGGGTTAGAAATAAGGATATCCGAAAAGTAAGGAAACCAACCAACCAGTCCCATCTCTTCCTCTGTCTGCTATGGGACGGTAACCCCGACATCCATGACTTCCCAATTCCCATATACTAACTATGTCCTTTCCAATAGTTCTTGGACGGTGTGTACGTTTCGGAGAAGGGTAATGTCATTGAGGAATAAAGGGGCGGGTTCACTATCTAGATGATATAGCGATCGGGAACAAGAAAAAAAAGGGGAAAAAAAAACTACAAAAAACAAAAAGGGCAGAGGAATGAAACCTATTTTTTCAAACAAAATTGAAAAGAAGTCCAAGAAAGAAAAACCAAAAAAGGCGGATCATCAGGCCCGTTTTTCTGTTCTTTCTTTTCCTCCTTTTTTTAAACGTGAAAATGGGACATGTCCTCTTTCTTTTTTCTTTTTTCTTTTTTTTTTCCCCTTCCTTTTTTTCTAATTGGCCTTTTTTTTTCCTTTTAAGTTTTACCTACTTTTTCCCCGTGCAGGAGTTTTTTTAATTGACGTTCCTATTTTACTTTAACGACATGCGCTTCTTCCATTTCCCCCCATTTCTCCGTTCCACTCATAAGGCAACCTTTGAACATAACGTGCCAAGACCTGATGCCAAGAAGCTGTACTCCGTATACATATATGACAATTGCTGTCCCAACGATTGCTTCCGGGATTTAGGGGCAGGCTACCGGGCGCCAAACTATGCCTGTTATATTCATAACATCGCTTTTTCCACTGCTAAAACGGAGAGGCACTAGTGTCACTGCCTTGGTTGAGGGGACCAAAACAGGGCGGGCTGCACATGAAGCTTCCAAGCTACTGCCCTTTATACCTGCCCCTCTGCTGAAATGCTAATTCTTGAATTTGTAGAGTGTTCTATTATTGTCTAGATCTTTTTGGAAAGAGAAAAACAAAAAGGGAAAAGAAAAGGAACCAGAAATCTTACAGATAAAATCCCCCTTGGTGCGTAAGTCTAATGCCTTGCCGTTATCCACCAAACCCCCTCAATGCTCCCTTGAAAATAAAAGCTAAACACAGGTAAAGGAGCGGAGGTTGATCAGTCAGTCATCTAACAGGCGAAAACAAGCCTCTCGGCTCGGCAGCCCTTTCCAGTTTGTTTAAACTCAAACAACACCATGCCCGCACCCATCCCAACAGCACGCACGACCACAGCACAGACGGCGCCGCAGAAAGACAACAAATAACACAACACCCCACAGCCACGCACCAAAGCCATGTCCATCCTCCTCACCAGCATCCTCCTCCATAGCTGGGATATCATCTTCTCCACCCTCGCCGCCCTCGTGCACATCTTCCAGACCTGCAAACATGTACGCTCACCCTCTCTTCCGTAGGCGGAAGGGACAAACAAACCATGCTGTTGCCTCCGCTACTCTTGCTGTTACTATTTTTGATATCCTACGACACACTATTTTCTCTCTTCTCTCGCAGTTACTGCTTGTATTATTTTCCGCGTTGGTATATCTCGCTTACATTGGCTGGTGTCTGCTGCAGAGATTGTATGTCTGGTGGTTTAGGAAGTCGCCGGAAGACCTTGCGAGGAAGCGCGTAGCGACCGCTGAAAGCTTCGAGGAGTGGCAGGCTGGGGCGGTTGCGTTGGATGAGGCGTTGGGGAATGATGTTTGGTTTGTTTTTCTTGTCTTCTTTTAAGCTTGAATCCTTTTTTTTTTTTACCCCTTATCGGCCAGGTTTACTGATCCTTTTGTTTACTTCTTCTTCTTGCTTTTGTCTACGTTACAGGCGTGAAAGCAACCATAGCTTCCACTATGACCACCGCGTCATTAAACGGCGATTACAAAGTATCCGACAAGCGAAAAATGACAACGATGTCTGGACCATCGTCCATCTTATCCGGTCTGGGTTGGTGAGGAATCTAGTCAACATCATCTCGCCGCAGCTCTATGATCGTGCCCACTCGGGGACCAAACTTTTAATCGAAGAGTATATCTCGGAACTCGGACGCGCCATTGAATACATCACTGCTCTTGAAACCGTGCCCCGCGACCCCAAGGCCTTTGATTCACAGGATAAATTTCAATTGCTCTATGACACCCGACAGGCGTTCGGCAGGTCGACGTTGATCCTGCAGGGAGGTGCCGTATATGGGACCTGCCATTTAGGTGTTGTTAAAGCACTGTATCTGAGGGGATTGTTACCTCGAATCATCACCGGTACCGCCACCGGAGCTCTGGTTGCGGCACTCGTGGCGGTACATACTGATGATGAACTTATACCAGTGTTGAACGGAGAAGGGATCGGTGGGGCTGTTTCCGATCAGTCGATTGAGCAGAAGCGATCCAAGGGATTCAAGATTCTTAGGCTTCTCTCGCGTGAAAATGGATACGGATGGTTGTCTTCATTGGTCCGACGGGCTGAGGAGTATATTCGAGATTGTTATTTCCCAGATCTGAAACTTCTAGAGGGGTATGTGAAGTCCACTGTTGGTGAAATGACCTTCGAGGAGGCATTTGCGAAGACAAAGCGTTCCCTGAACATTACCATCCCAACTGCTGGGGGAGCAGGGACTCCAAATCTTCTCAACTACCTGACAGCGCCCAGTGTGGTAAGATACTTGTTTCCACTCCTTAGTTGGATGTTTATTGGGAACTCATTCTGTAATTAACATTATTTCAGTTGATATGGTCGGCTGTAGCCGCGTCGAACGTTTCATCCGCAACGGCTTCACGGGTAACTCTATACTGCAAGGACGAGACAGGAGCTATCGTCCCGTGGCCCGACGCAGAAGGTCTCCTCTTCAGGTCATGGCGTCAACTCGGTTACAACGAGCGCGAGTGTCCGCTTTCCCGCCTATCAGAACTGTTCAACGTGAACCATTTCATCGTTGCACAAGCTAGACCATTCCGGGTGCCCATATACTTACTAGAGGTCGAGCAGCCCGGAAAAGTGGTCTCCCGCCGCTGGGTCATCCTCGAGCGCACCTGCCACATTATAGGTCTGGAAATCCGGCACCGTTTGCGCCAGCTTGATAGTCTGGGTCTCCTGCCAACGCCACTCCGCCGCCTATTAATCTATGAGGATATACCGGGTCCACATATGACGATTCTGCCAGAGCTGGGGTGGATGGATTTGTTGAAGGTATTCAAGGCACCGCCTATGAGGGACGAAGAGCTTAGGGGATGGATATTGAAAGGGGAGCGGGGGACGTGGCCTGCTATTGCTGCTGTTCGGGTTCGGTGCACTGTGGAACTGGCGCTTGAGAAGGGGTATCAGGTTGTGAGGCCGCGGTCGAAGCCTGGGTTTGGGTTTGGGGATGAATGAGGGGTGGAAAGGGGTTTCTTTTTTTCTTTTTCTTTTTTTTTTTTTTTTTTTTTTTTTTTTTTGCATTGGTGGTTACGGCTTTGGTCTGGGTAAGTTACTGGTTACTGTTTTGTCTGGTATTAAGAGCGTAGTTTTTCGTGCTGTTTTAGACAGGGTAAGGCCATGGATAGTTACTTTGGTGCTATTTTTAATTCTTGTTCTTTTTAGTGGTTCATATCACTGTAGAATTTTCCTTTATACTGGATAGACGCGTGGATCCTCCCTATGCTGTGGTCGATATATGGCCATATTACTCTGTATGCTCTACTCCGTTATCAAACCGCGGATAAAGAGATGACGGCATTATTTTATGCACGATGACATAAAGTGAACAGCCGGGACGCTAAACCCGTTCAGGAGATGGGCAGCACCGGCACAGCTGGCGGCATTAACTTTAATCCGGGAAGGTAACGGCGGTACCTCTGCCTTGGCCCAGCGGCACTGCCAACGCCAGGTACTTACTTGCTTGCTTGCACCCACGCGGCTCTCACTATCTCGATCCTGCTCTCTCCTCTGCGTTTCTCCTCTCTCCGCCTTTTACATATCCTCACCACTCACCAGGCGCCGTGACTATACACCATCTCAATCACTCACACGCTCTCCCATTTATTCTTATATTAAATCCCCCCATGTGAGCAGGTCGCAGCTATTTTCTCCTCCCGCTTGAGAATCACCAACAATCGTTTTTTTTTTTTTTTTGTTTTTTGCTTCTTATTACAATACCACCAGACGGACACGGGACACGGACACGGACACAGGCAAGCTTCCGCAAAACTCATCCCACAACCACCAGCAAGCACCATACACCATACACCGTACACCGTACACGCTTCCGGTTCTCGAACCCATCCCCGTGCCGGAAACAGGTGTTTTCGAAGGGGACTCGAGAAACAGCGGGTCTTTCCTGTTTCCCTTTACTTTTCGAAAAACCTACCCTTACTCACTCACTTGCGCATTATACAATCCTGCCGCTTTTTCAGAGCGGACCGACCCCCAGTAGTCTTTATTTTGGCGCGCGCGCGTGGGAGCCGGGACAGGATAACCAGCCCATCATCAATTCAGCATCATCTATATATTCCCGCCGCCTTTCTCCCTCCCCACCCCCCCCCCCCCTTTTCAGTGAAGATGGCGGTTCAAGCAGCTATGATCGCGGACACCATCACCGCGATGAAGAGGGCGCTTGAGCGGCAGCGGTCAGGTTTGTGGTTTTCTTCCTCTCTCGCTTTTCCGCTTGTGTATTTTGTATTTTTTTTTTTTTTTTTTTTTTTTTTTCTTGTTAACCTCTTTTACTTCTGCTCATATCTGGATCTGGCTGACATATGATTTTTTTTTTCTTCCCTTCTGTTAGTTACTGGCGTCGACGACCCCATCACACAACCCACGAATCGCGGAAATAAACTTAGGATAAATGCGGAATATGTTCATGAGGGAGCTCTTGGGTTCATGGATGGGCTGGAGTTTTATAGAAAGGTATGGGAGAAAGAATAAAAGAGAAAAAATTCTTTGTGTTTTGCGCTTCGAAGAGCGAGAAAGCTAATACGGGATGTCATCATTTTTGTTCATTTGATAGAGGATCAATCATGCCGGTTATACGAGGGATATATTAGAACGCAATCCGCCCAAATATGACTCTGAGGGCGATGAATTGGATGAAGAAGACGCGGAGGAACACGCCGATCCTGAATTGGCGGACGAAAATCCGTTCGGGGAGATACACCTGGAAGGTAGGTTGCTGTATCCGATACAAAACCCCCCGGGATTTTGTTATTCCTCTTCAATACGGATCAGATATGTCCTAACTCCATTTTTTTCATTCGTTCATAGAACTCCTCGGCCCTCTGAAACATCCTTCCCAACTCGCGACCCACCCATCCATGTCCCATCCGTATACCTCCAAAAGCCTACAAAAGATGGTGGACAATGCCAACGCAAAGCTTCGACAGGAGCAGGAGATCCTCCATAAGGCCAAGAGACTACACAGGGAGCTGCTGGGCGATGCACCTTGGATGCCTTGCGGCTTTTTGGAGACCATGGACGATAGAAATATATTTGACCCGAATTACGGATTTAATAGCCATCCCTCGTCAAAACACGGGAATGGGAGGGGTAAATCGGGCCAATCCTCGCGCAGAGGATCGGCTGTGGATCAGGCTCTCCAGACAGGGAATAAGTTCGCAACAAGCGTGCCGAATCACGACGCCTTGGATTACGCAGTCAATGGCGTGTCTGCCGCGCAGCGCAATGCTGGTCATGATGTTGAGATGGGTGATGCCTCGGAGGAGCCGCTGGAGAAGAAGGACCCAGTTGATCCCGAGAAGAAGGTTATGAATGAGCCCACCAAACCAAATGGGCAGGCTGTATCTCCTCCAGAGTCTATAAATGGAGATGACATATCGAAGAACGCGGAGGCAAAAGGACAATCGTCGAAAGCAACTACCGACGAAGATCCTCTCAAAACCAAAGAAGAACCTAAGGATAGCACCCCCGTTGATGCTACCGCCACTGCCAACGGAGATGACATAAACATGGATAAAGATAAAGACGGTGACCGCACAGAAGACGAAGCAGCCGACGGCAACGACGAAGGAATCTCCTCTCCCGAACCCCCACGCCGCATGACCACCCGCGCCCGCGCAAACCAAGCCGCAAACCAACCCACAACCCCAACCTCTTCAGACACCGCCCGCTCCGACACCCCTTCCTCCTCCACAGCCAACGACCCCTTAACCATGCACCCCATCTTCGTCCTCCCTCCCACCCACCTCGACCGCACCTGCGGCCTTCCCCCCACTGAAGCCGACGAAGTCCGCCGTATGCTCTGGTCCTATATCCAGAAGCAGGAAGAGACGGTGCGTGCGTCGCAGCGCATGTACCAGATGCTGCTGGGCGCGTATCGGAAGAAGCAGCTGGTGTGGGAGTGGTGTAAAGCCGAGGGCCATGTGGGGGAGTTGAGCGATGGGGAGGATTGGTATGATCGGGAGCAGTGGGGGTTGGGGGATGGGGAGGATTTGAGGAAGGGGGCTGATGAGGATGAGTTTGATGGTGGGGTGGATAAAGGGGGGGGGGGGGGGGGTGGGTCAGGGACGGGGACGGGGACGGGGTCGGGGAAGAGGGGGAGGGGGCGGAGGACGTGATTGATTTTTTTTTTTTTTTTGTCTTTTATTTTCTTTTATTTTCTTCGATTTTGAGGTTGGGATTTTTGGACTTTTTTTTAGCTGGATTCGATTGGATAAGATTGAACTGGGATGGCATTGAAGGATGGATGGATGGATTGGTTGACTGATTGATGAAATATGAACGTGCAAAACATCTGAGATATAGGCAGATAGGGCGGAGCCTCTCATTTTTTTTATTTTATTTTTTTTTGATTTTTCTTCCCCGTCTCGCTTTTCCCCTGTTGGTATTCTTCTGCTCATCGTCGGTGATTTAGGGATTTAGCGAACCGTTTTTTATTCTTTTTGTTCTTTTCCCCTCCTCTGTACCCTACCATTCTCTCTCCCTCTTCATCATTGTTATCTTTATCTCGCCGTCTCCTTTCCTAAGCCTCTATTCCTATTCCCTCTTCCCTTTCTATCTAATCTTCCACCCATCCAAGGCGGCTTTGGCTTTTATTAATGTAGGTCGATTGGGTGCTTTTTGCTTTGGCTTTTGCGTTGTTCATCTTCCCGGTGACCTCCCATTTTCTTCCTGCTGGTCCACCAGAGGACCTTGTAACGATAAAAACTGAATGCTTTTTCTTTCTATATCCTTCATATACTTCATCAATCTCAGCGTGAAAATTCCCAGTTACGTTAGTAAAAAGGCAAAAACTCAATGACTTCTCTTCTATTCTCATTTTGAATTAAATGTAACCCCTCTCTCTATACGGTATATCGCCCGCCGCTTACCTAGGTGCTCCCATCTCTCCTAGGATAGCTATAGTTATGTGTACACATGGGTAACTGTAAGTTAGCAGAAGATGCTCGCGTTGATGAAAGAGTATCAATTAGCTTGGAAAGTGGTAAATTATTTTCACCTTTCCATTGACACTAGCATAACTCTACCTTTCATCTTTTTTATGTATTTACAGATGGTAACCAGGGGATATACATATAAGCCCACAACCACGTTTCCCTGTTCCATTTCTCGTAACATTATCATTCATTTAATAATCCATCCCATCCCGCCCGATCATCCGTATACCTCCATCTATATTTGCTAAATAAGAATAATGAAAAAAAAAAAAAAAGAAGAAGAAGGAAGAAGGCTCTCTACCCCTTTCCCACCCTCCTCTCTCCCTCGCGTCCCCTGCTCCGCACCATCCAGCCCACCCCACATCTCAAATAAAAAAAGAGCGCAATTGATCGTTGAAGATACATATATAATAATAAGAAAAAAAAAAATTCGTTCCACATCTCTTCTACTACGGGAACCCTATATCCCACCCCCTGCTTCTCGCCTCCTGAACATGAAAATAAAATAGCAAAACACACGGGCGCTCGATACAAAAACAAAACATAAAACATTCGAACCGCATGAAGATTTTATGTACCTTGAGTATAATTATATCCCAGCCCTATCCATATACGTATATATATATGTTGCATAGCCGTAGTAAGTATATAACAAGAGCGATCACAGATAAACAAAGAGAAGACGGCGTAGGGTGTTAGGCGAGTCAGACAGATATTTTGATCCATCATCGACAGGGATGGAACGTTGAAGTCCTTAGTCGATGATCAGGGTTCGGGGGTTGCCAGAAAAAAGCTGTTTTTTTTGGGCATTATTTCTTTCCAACCCTCTTCCTTCCAGCAGCGGATGGGATGGAAGAGAGGGCGACTCAAGCGCGCTTGCCGCCTTTCTTGGACTTGGCGCGGTCTCGTTCGCGCTGTGCGTAGATTTCGGCGGTGAAGGGACTGTGTTGGGTGACGGTTATTAGCTGTTAATTCTGATCCGGGGATAAAATTTGTAGATGGGAAGGCAGCATAATAAGGGGTAAAAAAAAGGGGGGGAGGAGGAGGAGGAGGAGGAAGAGGAGGAGGAGGAGAGGGGGGCACTCACTCTTCCCACTTCAATGCAATCCAGTAGCACACAAACACCTCAAGCGTCAGTAGCAAACCGGCCACTTTCCCTTTATACAACGCCACGGCCAAAAAGCTCATGGTGCTACCCCAGTACATTGGCGAACCAGTGACATTGAAGGGGAACCCGGTCACAGGCGCATCCATCAGGATCCCAAAGTAATCGCCCAGATACGTGCCCGTGAGGCCCAGGGCCCACATGCTGGAGAGCACGAGCGTGTTCCCCGCGGCAAAGAGGCCATAGGCGAGATACGGCTGGGTGACGGGCTGGTAGAAAGGTTGGTCGGCCAGCGCCTGGTTGTAGAGGTGGTCGCGGAATATGCCGAGGGAGAAGATGGCGAAGGCGAGGGCGTAGCAGCCGTTGTAGGCACTGCCGAAGATGCGGGTTAGGAAGTGGTTGCGGTATTCTGTTGTTTCGTTGTTATTTTTATATTCTCTCATTTATGAAGTGGAGTACATGTATATGCGCTGCTCTAGGCAGATTTTTTGAATATTTTGTTACTTGGGGGGCCGCAGGACGGACCTTGACGGGCGACGATGCTGTGGTTGGCACATTGGTTAGCTCTATATAACTCTTACGGCATACCTCTTTTCTTTTTGTCTGCTCGATCAGGGAGGTTCTTACTTCCAGAAGATGGGATTGAACGCTATGGCGACGGCAGCCACTGTTGTTGGGGCCAGGTTTCAGAGGTTAGTCTTAGTAAGTATGATATGGTTGAAAGTGGGTACAAATTCTTACAATGTAGGCTTTTTTGGGAGAAATCGACATAATCTGAGAGGGAGGACATTTTCGGGATAACCGTCCTTGGGATCAAGGTGAGGTAAGTAGAGAGGGGATTCGGTTAGGAGGAATTACTTTGTCGGAGGATTGGAAAATTACTGATGTTTTTGTTGTTTTGTTTTTTCTTTTTTTGTGTTGTGCCTGGGAAGTTAACTAGGTTAGTCGCGAGTGATTTGGTAGTTATGACGTTGGTTTGTATGCGGAGTTGGTGATTGTATGGGTACAAACAGGGCAGCGTACTTACTTCTGCAGAGGTTTTGACTGGGGCTGGGTAGAGAGATATATGACTTCGATTAATTATTTTTAAAATATCTTCTATTTTGCATCGCATTTCTCACCAGATATATATAATAATATTATCATCTATACAAAGACAACTTTTACCACATCATCTCGGCGATCTGATAAGCAGAACTTACATAAGCAGCGTCTTCTCTCCACGGCCCAAAGAGGAAATGCCAGACTCCCGGACTTCAACTTCAACTTTTATAATTTGGTTAAGGGAAGTTAATTAAGTTAGTGCTTCACATGCCACAGTCACTTTCTTAGCCTTGGACCATTAGTCCCCTTCTGCTGCTACTACTAGCCGGGCTAATTCATGTTTTAATTCTGCTACCTAGGAATGCTGCCACGCTCCCATGTGCTGACCGCTATCCATACGTAACTGAGCATTCACCGCACTATCCAAGCTAACTAGCGTCGTTGTTGTTGTTGTTGAGGGTCCGAGAAAAAAGGAGAAGAGAGAACACAAAGAAAAAGCGAGCGAGGAATGCCTCTGCTGCATTATTCCCTTTCATGAAGTTGTCAAATTGACAGCATGGGGTCAGCTTGTGCTGGGGAGAATGGCCCTAAGTCGCCGTGACCTTACCATCGCCAGCTTGAGCGGCTTTATCGCATGGGGTTTGGCCGTGCGCTGGCTCCCCGTGCTTCGCTACATCGGATACGCCTTCGTCGTTGGTCTCTCTATCGCCGCCGCTTGCCTGGGTGCCGTTGTCCTTTTGACCGTGCGAAGTGGAAATGAGTGGAGAGCAAATAAAGCCAGTTTGGCTGGCACTTCCGTCGCCTTCCTCTCCCCCGATAAATGGGAACAAGATGTCAGGATATACGAGAAGAGCGTGGATTATCGCCCCGACCCGTTGTACCCTCGGTCGTTCCTTGTTTCCGAAGCGCTTAGTGAGCTCCTCGACCTCGCGCTAAGGGATTTTGTTTCATCATGGTATCAGGATATAAGCGGCAATCCAAGATTTATCAGTGAAGTTGATCGAGGGATAAGAGCTGTGCTAGGAAATTTAAGGGACAGGCTGCTCAGGGAAGACCTGGTGGAAATCCTAGTATCCCGGATTGTCCCGATTTTGACGAGCCACTTCAGGGATTTCGACAAAGCTGAGAGGGCAGTTCGAGGTAGAAACCTGTCGCGCACCGTGACTGAATCGGAGGAGCTGGAGATTGCAATTGCGAGTAGATACAGAGATGGAAATCTACATCCTGCCATATCTCTATCCTCGTTCTCGGACCCAAAACAGGTTCAGCAAGAGCACCTCCGCAAGCTAGTTGTCACACTTCTCCCACAACTGCTGCCAGAAGGTTTAATGAACAGCCGGGCGGTTGCCGTTTTGATCAGGGAGATTGTCACCTGTGCCGTGCTATACCCGTTGATGTCGCTGCTCTCCGACCCTGATACTTGGAACCAGCTGATGGAAGCCTATGCGCGCACAGCATTGCAAGACCGCAAGACAGTGCGGAAACTGCGTGCAGCCCTGGACCAACATGCCTCGCCGGCTCCAAAGACTAAACAAAACCAAACATTCCCCAGGCTAAGGCCGGGCGATAGTGAAAGAGAATTTGAGCGGTTTGTCCGAGTTATTCGGCGATGCAACATCTTGTCAGATGCGAGGAGGTTCAGAAGCCAAATTGCCAGCCAACTGAAACGGGAGAGCATGGTCGAAGGCCAAGACCAGGTTTATCTACGCCGCCTGGAAACAGGGAAGCGGGTTTTAGATCAGAAGGTTTCGAAGCTTTCAGCGCTCTCTGGCCAGTCAAAGACTACTCCCGTAAATCCAGTTGATCTCCGCTACAGTTACATTTCGAATCCTCAAGAAGTATCGTTGGTGGATGTTATGCACAATGCAGCCGGGCTTTCATACTTTATGGAGTATATGGATCGTCTGAACCTCATGTCCCTAGTCCAGTTTTGGGTCGTCGTTGACGGGGTCCGAAATCCTCTTGAAGATGACTTTGGTGATGACACCCCCTCTAACGCTGTGACATGGACAACGGCCGATAGGAACGATGTCGTGCTGATCAGCGAGCAGCATCTGTCGAAGCCTGAGTTACGGGTTCCCCCTGAATCTAGACAGGCCGTGAAAGACTTCATCAACGCTGGAAAGCGAGCTACCCCAGCACAATACCGCAAAGCACGAACGGTCATTCTCACGACACAAACATCTGTTTTACTTGAAATGCAAAATAAATACTATCCTGACTTTAAAAAGTCGGATCTCTACTATAAATACTTGGCTTCTGATGAAGCTGCTTCCGCCTCCGCCTCTATCCCCCACCCGGAACGGCCGACTATCAACCGATCAGCAGGCTCCGAAGGCTCTGAACGGCGCCCGCTTCCGCCCCTTATAGGCCGCGCAGCTTCCCCGCAGTCAAACACAAAACCAAACGATCTATTACGAGCGGCTGTTTCTACAACCGATTTATTGAAATCCTCTAAACATCTAAATGACTCTCACTTCCTCCGGCGATCACTAGACTCGGATCGAGCTCCGTTGTTCGATGATGACCCGGAAACCGACCCTCTAGTAGCATCGACCCAGAGTATCGGAAAAGATTCTCAGAATGGGGATGGAGGGGACGGTCACTCCCGTCGTGTAATAGAAACTATGGAAGCCGCTTTGAATGATATTATTACCAACGAGCCGAATGATTCGAGACTAGAAGACACAAAAAGCTCCCTTTTACATCCGAGCAGAGATCAAGATTCATCAAGGAGTTCATTGGAGTCTCCACAACTTGACAACGGTCCAGCGGGGGAGAAGGGAAAACCAAGTATTGCTTCATTGGGCCTTGTTAATACCTCGTCTAGGATTGGAGTATTTGCCGATAACGACCTATTTTCAGACGAGGAAAAGTTTATCGAGGATGAATATGCAGACCCAGAGACACAAGAGGATGAAAAAGATCCTGCGGAAGAGATCCATGAAGCGGCGCCTGGCGATCTTGGTTTGGCTGAAGCTATATCTGCTTTGACATCTGATATAGAAAAGCTCATCGCTCAAGAGGCTGTTGTTGACACTCTCACCAGAAAGGCGGAATTAACTAATAATACCGCAGAGTTGCGTATATTAAGGAAATCCAAGTCGAGTCTTCAGCGTGAACTTCGCCGGAAGGAGATGCAGAGGCAGCAATACATTATCCAGGAAAGCGATAATAGTCTGTACGGGCGGTCCACTGTCCAAATCAAATCCATAATGGTTGGGAAGGAGGAGGATGGAAGGGAATACGCATTGTGTATGTCAGCCTTTAGGATTCGCACTCTACTGAAATTGACATAAAATTGCTAACCAAACCCAGACCTTATCGAGGTACAGAGGAATTCGGGAGACCAGATGTCCGCTGCGTCCTGGGCAATTCCTCGCCGTTATAGCGAATTCCATGAACTCCACCACCGACTACGAATGAGATACCCCTCCGTCCGCAACCTAGAATTCCCCCGCCGACGCATGGTAATGAAACTCCAAAAGGACTTCCTCCACAAACGCCGTCTCGCCCTCGAAGCCTACCTCCAGCAACTTCTCCTCCTCCCCGAGGTATGTCGAAGCCGTGATCTGCGTGCATTCCTATCCCAACGCGCCATCATCGCCTCCGATGATTCCAACCACCACCCTCCCCACCATGATCTCCACGAAGAAAACAAAGACCTCGTCACGCGGATCTACAACTCCGTCGCCGATGGCATGGACGATTTCCTAGGAAACATCACCGTCCTCGACCAGCTCTCAACAGCAGGTCAAAACCTCATCTCCGCCGCCACAAACCAACTTGCGACCACCAACACCAACACCCCCACCACGCAACCCGACCACCTCCTCATAAACCCCGAAGACTCCGTCACCGCTGCCGAAGCCGAAGCCGAACTTAACGCCTTCGAAGACCGCGAACTAGAACCCTTTGTGAAACCCATTTGCGACATGTTTCTCGAAATCTTCGAGCTGAACAGGGGCAACAACTGGCTGCGCGGGCGTGCTGTCGTCGTCGTCCTCCACCAGCTTCTCGGCGGCACCGTGGAGCGCAAGGTGCGCGAGTCCGCCCGCGCGCTCGTGCATGATTCGTCGTTGCTGCGCTATATCAATCTGGCGAAGGACACGTTGTGGCCTATTACCGCTCCTGCCCCTGCTCCTGCTGGCGATGGTGCTGCCGGTGCAGTTGCAGGCGGTGAAGGATTTCGTAAGTTACGCGAAGCGAAGCCGCGGAGTTTAGCAGAGAAGATGAAAAGTCGTACGGAGGCGAGTGTTATGCTTGCGACGCTGGTGCCGGATCTTGCGGCGAGCGTGGTTGGGAGGGCGAATGCGCAAGCGGCAGCGAGGAGGCTGTTTGCAACGACGAATAATCAGAGGTTGAATGCGCATTTGGTTTTCACGATTTTGGATGAGGTTGTGTTTGTGTTGTTTGGGGGTGGGGGTGGGGGTGGGGGAGTTAGATGAGATTACAATTATTGTAGAGGAAGAGAGGGGGAGCTTTTGGTAGTGTAGGAGGTTGTGTTTGTATGAGAAAATGTGATAATGCCATGAGTAATGTGTGAATGTGGATACATATAACTGACAAGTCCTGGACTTAATTCTTTTATTTTTATTTTTATATTTTTTTTTCCCCGTTCGCGTCTATTTTTGCAGCGGTGGTTTCCATCTATCTGAACAATGTCTTTATTTTCTTCCCTTCTTCATTTTTCTTTTCCTTAATTCACTTTCGCCCTAGGCCCTCCTTGCCAGGCTTCGATTTCCGTCCCAATTTATACTCACTTCTCCATAGTTAAGAATTCATATGAGAAACTCCTTTCTCACTAAATCCCATTACAACTAAATAGGTGCAGTAAGGTTCCCTCCGCCACCCCCTTTTTCCCCGAAGATTGGAAAAATAGATGCGCAATAGCTTGAAGCTCTGGAAGTTAGATATGACTCCAAATATATTCTTTCTTATCCCCGAGCAAGTTTAAAACCTTCATTTAAGGTAAGTAGGTAGGTAGGTACCTTGTCGGGGCCTTTCGCTGTCAGAATTTGATTCTCCACTCTAGTCCCTCTCCAGCTAACAGCGGAATCAAAAACAACCAAAGCCCAGGCCAGACATAGCTTGTTAAACGATGATTGAGCCATCCGGTTTTCACTCTTGATGACACATGTGGCTGCAAGGTTATCACACATATCACTTTACATTAAAGTCCCCAATCAATCATTTTGCTACATGTACTATACATGTATGTACATTGACCCCCACATTTGGTTCTGTGGCGAGCTACAGTCACCTCGCGCATGCGCATGTAGCAGTGTCTTCTCTTCTGCCAGCCGCCCCCCTTCTCAGACCTTACCTCCAGCGGACACCATTTTAAGCCAAATCATCCAACTGTCGTGAGTAAGTGATTTGAATTGGTGTACACCGGTGCTAATGGCCTCAGGTATAGTGAGCTGCTACAAAATTGCTAAGCTGAGCCTCACATCAGGCTTTTTGCCTGCGCATAATGGCCTCCGTGAAGGCCTTAGAAAGCCGCTACCACTAGACCAAAGGATGGATCGCAGCACTTCCACTGGAACTTGCAGCGGCAACTGCGATGCTTGATGAGTAGCACGGAAAGACGCTCGATTTCGCGCAGTCTCCGTCGGACAGGAACTCCTACACCTGGGGGGCCGAGTTGGGGAGCACAACGTGGTTATGGCATCGCTTGCAGCGGGGGTGTATGGCAGCACCTCAGCGACAACTACTGCAATGTCCATGCTGTCTTCCTTTCCGCAGGTCCAGTTCGGGCTCATGGTAGGCATTGGGGCTGCGGTCCCAAGGCTGGAATGCGGCTATGATATCCGACTTGGTGACATTGTCGTTAGCCAGCCTGATGGGCAAAACGGCGGAGTCCAGTATGATCTTAAAAAGGCAAAGAAAGGAGGTCTTTTCGAGCGCAAGGAAATTCTCAACATGCCGCCGGAAGTCCACCTCAACGCACTGGCTAAGCTGCAGGCTCAGCATGAAATCTGACCGTCGAAAGTTGCTGAATTTCTTGAAGAGATGGGGGGCAGGAATCATCGCATGTCCAAGTCGACACCCGGTTGACCTGGTTATGTACACCAGGGAAAAGAGAATGACCGGTTCTTCAAAGCATCCTATTCACATATTGATGGCTTCGGCTGCAGCAACTGCGATTCCGACCAGGAAATCCAGCGAGATAATCGGGATTCCACCGAGCCAGAGATTCACTACGGCATCATTGGAGCTGCTTTCTGTCATTCCAGCACAGATGATAGCCACGACGACTAAAGCAACGGACGCTCTTAAGGAGTTCTACTTCTGTGGCCGGGTGAACGTGCTCGAAAGTATCCAAACGATCCTGAATCTGACGATGCTAGAGAACAAAAATCATCCGTGCCGTCGGACAATGGTTATTTTTCAAGGCATTGGTGGAATTGGAAAGACCCAGACAGCCCTTGAATACGTCCGTCGCAACAGAAATATCTATAGCACAGTCTTCTGGGTTGATATCAGCAACGCAAGTAGATTGACGTCAGTGCCAATCGAATCATGGACGAATTGATAACTCATTATGCGAAGAAGTACCCCGGAGAAGAGAAGTTTGGTAGTATTGCAGCAGACCTTCAGATTCCGGGGCAAATCGATCGTCAGGGCCAGCTGAGAGGAAATGCTGCCAAATCTCCGTGGCAGTGTGTACGTAAATGGCTCGCGAGGGATGCGAATATCGGGTGGTGTCTTGTCGTCGACGGAATCAACGACGAGGCAGACGGGGACCGTATGCTGGAATTGCTTCCCGCTTGCGATCATGGACACATCATTGCTACGTCTAGGGTACGTTTATCCGACTTCAAGATCATTGAAATCCCAGAGCTGGAGGAGCAGTTTTCTGTGAAGATGCTTCTAGATCGCCGGGTAGATTCTCTTAAAGATGGAGACGAAGGTAGTTCTCCCCCGCGGGTTGGTGGCCCCCCCCTATTTATTTTCTTTGGAATCATTGTCCCCATGGAGTGGTTAAAGTCACTCACCATCAATAGCAAAACCCGCAGCAGAACAAGTTGCAGAAATGATCGGATACCTTCCACTTGCCCTTTCCCAAGCAGCGGCCTACATTAAGAAGAAAGCCCTCAGGCTAGTGCAATACCTAGGCAGACTTCGCAACAACATTGCTCGGCTCATCGGCGAGAAATTCTTGAAGTTCTCCGGCGGTGTTTTCTCGTGCTGGGAATTATCTATCCAGGAACTCGTCAAATCGTACGCTCACGCCTTTGACTTGCTTCGGCTCTGCTCGTTTTTAAGCCCAAATGGAATTTCGGAAGAATTACTCTACCGCGGTCTCGAGGCCATCGAGTGCGCTCAAAACGGTAATATAGCCTTCTTCTTCTGTCATAAGTCGAGAAGCATACACCTCCCCGCCCCGCCCTGCCCCTTTTATTTAAGGATCTTTGTCTTTGATATCACTGACATGTTGTGGAAATAGAACAGTTTCACCTAGAAACGCTATAGACGGGCTAGTCACATACTCCTTGATGAAGATAAAAGCCTAGCGGCACTTTATAGAGATGGCGCACGATTGGTCACTTGCTTAGTAGGGTTGGATAAAACGGCGACACGCGCGAGTCATGCGAATGGATATACGAACAGGAAATCAGGGCCCAACTGGACCTGTGTTTCAATAAATATGTTCAGAAAGACATTGTCACGAATGACGCTGTTGCGGCGGATGACAATCTTGCCTGGGCGATTCGCCAGCTGGGGGTGCTTAAGGTTTGGCGGTCAGACAGACGATTGTGTCGCAGCAGCCCTTCTCAAGCTTTCAATCAGCTTGTATACAAAGAATAAGGAGAAGGAGAAGCTGCCCAACGTTGATGGCCACCCTGACATTGAACTCAGGTTGCTGTATGCCATGCCATGCGTAGCTTGGCGAAGCTGTTGGTCCTGCACGATGGACTTGGTAGGAGCCCTGAAGAAATCACCCGCTTGCTCGATACCGTTGAGCGTGGGTACAACAAATTCCGCTAGATGCTGAGCTTCTGAAAATCCAAAACCTGAAGGCATCGCATCTCCGGAACCTGGACGACTTCGACGGGGCGCTGACGCTGTATCAAACATGCATGGAGAACTGCGCCAGGGTTAACTTATTGAATATTAGCAGCTATGAGTCTGTCTGACCGCATTATTGTTTCTGAACAGTTCCCTTCAGACCCTTATTTCGAAGGTAGTCAGATTGTGTTGATGTGGTTAGTTTTTATGTAGTCAGTGATTGAACTCTGAATTGTGGTTTTGCGAAAAATCGCTTATTCAGCCACACTAGTTAGTGATAGTTAACTAACTAGCTCTAGTAAATAGACCCTGAAAACTATTTTCTATAAAAATTGAATTTCAAACCAACCCACTCCACTTCCACTAGATTGCGGGCGCTCTATGGGTTGGGTATTATTTTGTTTAGTTAGTTAGAGCCGGCAACTAACTAACCATAGATCTAAATTAAATATCATCTTCTTGAAAGAGATTCTTCAATGGATGCATGAACATTAGAATAAATATACTGAAATAGTTAACTACATACCCACACCTCACAAACACAAATCACAAAATACAATTTCTTGGAAAGTTAGGGAGTGATATAGCAACTTCAATACTAGCTAGGCTAGGTCCCAAGTTTGATTGACCCGATGTACTGAAACCCCCCCGTCTTCGTCCCTTCTATTACACGAACATAGAATAGTAATGGAGAGAGATAACCACGACAACGAAGAGAACGACGATGTTGAATAAAGCTGGAGAGTAGAAAAATTCAGGAAAGTAAAGTAAATATGAAAGAATATATACATGTAAAAAAAAGGGGGAAAGAAAGAACGTTTTCAAAAGACCGCAAGACCTCTCCCTCTATCCCTTTCTACATTCATACATTCATAAACCAAAAACCCGCTCCCTCTTCCATGCAAGCGGACCACACGATGCAAGTGGTTCAGTGAAGAAAGAGTGGTGGATGAGATAAGAGAGGTGTGATGGAAGTCTAGTTAGTTAGTAGTTATCTTTTGAGATACCGAGACAGGGTAAAGAAATGATTAAAACATAGCATCAATGAATGACTACCTCAACTTAAATTCCTAGCAAAACTAGCAAAATACTAACTAGAACTAAACCGACGACAAAACAAGAATATGTCTAGCAAATCGAACACATTCATTTCTCAAGAACTAGTACGGCATAAGTGGGGAGAGAGAGAGAGAGATGGGTGTATGTTAATAGTTAAAATAAAAAGTAGAAAAAGATAAACTCTTTTACCTCTACTTTACGTCTTTGTGGTAGCTCATTCATCGCCGCCTTTCTTCTTGGATTTCTTCGAGCTGACGGGGGCGCCTTGTTTCTTCTGGTGGACGATGAGGCGGGTCCATGACTCCTCCTTATCCCACTCGAAGCCTGCGAGGATGGGGTTGTCGAGTTCGTCGTCGGCCTGTTGGGTTTTTTCCATATGTGGTTAGCTAGGTATATGGTATACACACTATATATATAAATATACATGTATGTATGGCGTGTTCTGTTTAGGAAAGAGGAAATATACCTTCTTCTTGAACTGCTTGTGGATAGCGTCTAGCGCGTCCTTGATGGTGACGCCCTTGAGGTTTCTGGCGGTGACTTCGAGGCCTAGGGGGAAGTGCAGGTCTATCCGCTTGACGGGCGGGGTGGTGAGGAGTTTCTTGAGGACTTCTTTGTCGTCGAGTGATGAAGGGGGGGTATTGAGTTTCCTGTGGGTGTCCCAACGGTTAATACACATATACATACTGCATATGTAACGATAGGATTCCTATATGCTTACCAGCCGAGCTTTTGTGTCTCGGGGGCAATGGCTAGTTCGATTCCTTCCTTTTCTATACAGGATGTCAGTATGGATTCTTATTTTATTCTATGCATGAAGGATAGACATACCTAGGTCATTGATGTTCCGGACGCCTTCCGACGTCGAGGTCGCACGCTTGTGAGCCTTTTCCTTCTTTTGGGCGTCTTTGGAGTCCTTGGGAGGGGATATTGAGAGACCAGCTACGGCGGAATCGACCTTGGAGAGCTCTTCCGACATGATGAATTGGGATGTGTGTTTGTTGGGTAGTGCTTGAGGGTTCAGGGGTAGAGGTTAGTTTAAGAGGACAGAGAGAGTACCTGGAAGATGCCAAGTGAAGGGGTAAAAAGGAGGAGAGTGTGCAGGTATATATGAAGGTATACTGTAGCACATGAGAGATATGGGAGAGGTTATGGATAAGTGAGCCAGTCAGTGACATCTACGTACTGTGAGAGTTGACTATAGGCACGGATAGCACGTATACAGCGATAGGCAGTAGCAGCAGGTAGCAGCTAGCAAGTAGCAAGTAGCAAATAGTAGTAGGTGATAGTCAGATGATTCAGGATAGAAACCAGGCACAGGCACAGGCACGGCACGGCACGAATGGCGATGAGACAAGGAGGAGGAGGAGGAGGAGGATGAGGAGGAGGAGGAGGAAGAGGAGGAGAAAGAAGAGGAGAGAAGGGGGAAGCACAACAGAGTAAGGGAGCAAGGGGAGGCTGAGTCAGGTGGTCACACTGCCAGAAAGCGGGGATGGCAGCAAGGCCCATCTGGGGTGACCCCGGGGTGACCGGCTGCTGCTATACTCCTGCCGCTTGCCAATGACGTACCATCCAAGTACCCGGCTATGGTTTCCCCTAATGCAAAGCAGCCTGGGGAAGTAACCTAATTATTAATTGCGGCTAGGTCTGGATCAAGCCGTCCATGGATCTGTGCATTTGTAGAGCCCGTGTACCCGCGGCGTGTTCCCAGCGGCGAAAGGGTACCTCCCGGGTACATCTGGGCTAGACCAAATGTTATTATTCTTATGATTGTATATATATAACTATATATATACAATATAATAACTTATAATTCCCCCTACTCCGTACATTTCACCACAATAGCAAATCCAATATATCTCTCCTCTCACCATCCTGCTCACGCCACCCATTTCTATTTCCATAACAAATGCTGTCGCCGTTTAGGTTAGTTAGTTCAAACGCTAGTCCTTTGTCTCCTCTTTTTGCCTGGCCCGCTTGGCGCTAACCCTGCACCCCGCATTTTTTGTATGGAGCAAGTTCCACTCTCAAGTCTCAGGTCTCGCGGTGGTTGGGTTCTGGACCAAGAAGTTGTGTTGTGGTCCTGAATGGGCCGCTGTATTAAACGGGAAGTTGCTGTTGTAACTACTTTGTACTCTGTATGCACCTTTCCAACTACATTTCAATTACTCCGTACTATATTATTAGAGTTTTGCAGAGAGTATAGAGAGGGGACATGACATATCAGATAATATTTTACTCCGAACAATCAACAATGTATAGCAGCTTATCACCTCTTCTCCAACAATGGTAAACTGCAACAAGAGAAAGCTGAGACAAATCTCCTACCTCCTCCTTCTCATTTGAGCCAATCAATCACCCAGCATCAAACCGATTTATTGACATGTTTTTTGTTCAATCTCAACAAATCAATCCGGACAAGCATAGAAGCCCATCTTTGAAACACAGCATGTTCAGATCCTGGCTCAGGTATATATCTCCTATTCTAAGCATGTCTGAGAACAACACTTCTATGAACTCTCATTTAATGAGATTGTACTCACTCAACCATCTAGAGAATAAAATTAATATAGCTAGCTATCCGAGAGTAAGTCTTGATTCTAATAACAAAACATAGCGCAAATCAAGAAAGAAAGAAAGAGAAGGAAGAAAAACTATCAAGCATCTCATAGTCCCAAGCTCTAACAGTTTATCTACACATGTTCAAAGCTCTAATAAGAGATTCTTCTATTCTTCTCTCAGGTCTAGCACCTTGTACATGTACATGTGCATAGTCGTTTGATAGTTCCAATTGAGCTTCCTTACACACAGCTATGTCAGGCCTCGGCCCTGCAAGTCCATGATAAATATCTTCGAAAATATCTTCGAGAACCACATCACGTCATATTAAACTACACTGTCAGGCTTCTGACCGCTATCTAAGCCTTAGAAATGATCTATCAATGTCTAAAAAAATATCCTTTAAGATAAACTTTGTGTGTTTGGACCCATCGCAGGCAATTGGTACAATTGGAATTTAGGAGATATGCAAAGATACCAGCATTCCAAATACTCACTCTCAAGGATCTCAGGCACAGTCAAGCGTGCATTCAGATCAGGGTTTAAGACCTCAGCTAGGAATTGAATGTCTTCACCCAGCAACCCCCTTCTCAACCATTTCATTTGCCCACATATACGCCTCATCTGCCTGTGGTGTAGGTAACTTTTTGCCACACTACACTCCCTGTCCTCGGCATAGAATGGAGTGGAGGCCATGCCAAAGTCGATTGCAAGTTTGTCGCGGACGGCCTTCGTTTTGTCCCCCAAGGCTCCTGTGGAGATCGAATCGTACATTCAAAGGAGGACTAGCGCGTAGTTGTTCAGCGGCTATTCTGTAGCAAAACACATAGCGCGTTCTAGATGACCTCAATATTCGAAATTTGGATTTGTACTGTACGTCGGCTTCCTCACGCTTTTTACGTTTGCTTGCCAGGTTGGCAGGGATTACTCAGCAGGCCATTCTGTTATTGGATAGTCAATTCGAAAGCACCAGTATATCTTCTATTCCACATAATACTCATTATTATAGAGATCCCTCCAGGTATAGAGACCCCTGACTATAGAGATCTCTGAGTATAGAGACTCTCAGATATAGAAACCCCCTGGATAGAGTCTCCTCTGAGTATAGAGCCCCCTGGGTATAGAGACTGTCCCAGGGTCTACGGAGTAGAGCTCTCTACTGATGTGAGTCACTATTTCATAAAACCTTCAATGAGGAGATCTTGATTACTGTTGAACCTGAGAATGGATCCAAATGTGAAGGATCTGCGTGCGGGTGAGAATCATGAGTCCGCCAAATATCGCGTGTAACTTAATTAGGCAAACATACCAGGTCGCGGCACGAGTGCTGAGCATAGGGGACTTGTGAAATGGTATCCAATCTCAGAGTGAGCAGCTGAATCCTGACATTAAACACGCTATCTTCACTCAGCCAATTGCGAGCCTGTTCAGCGGACTCGAAACTTTCTTGATGAGTTGATTTGAACTCACATTACTCTTCATGTTGAATGTGCTCCTCCGTACGGAGTACAGTAGAACTTACTCTGGCCCTCTAGCCTCTTTGCAGAATGATGTAAGATTTGCAGGTCATCCTTGTAAACTTCTGTGAGAAAGTGATCTGAAGAAACAGCTTCCCAAGAATCAAGATATGAAGAAATTAAGTAACATGTAACATTAGTGTCTTCTTCTTCTTCTTCTTCTTCTTTGACAACTAGATGTACGGAGTATATAGTGCGAGACTAAAGATTGTATGTCCGGTTTCAAGGTCAGATTAAGGTTGAGCCGCCGCCGCCTCGGGTCTAGTGTGTTCGGATGCGGTCTAGCGTAAGTCAGCCTGATGCGGTTTGGCGCCAATCCTAGATGTTAGAAGCATCGGATTTCCATCAGCGCTTATCTTTCTGAGTTCTCTGCACCTCGATACCAAATGACTGCTCATAACTTGATGCTTTCAAGTGATGGATATCGAAACAGTGGTCGCTCTGCTCACTAAGGTAGAGATACCGAACGAATAGCCGCGTCAATCTGAGTTTACTTTTGACTACTCCATATCCTCGACGCCATCTCAAACGTACTGGTCTCTAAATCGTGTGGGGAAGTCATTTGAGGTGGGACTACAGCAGCAGACGGTCGGTGGTATATACACTTTCGTTATTGCTTCAAACGAAGTGATTCCAAACAGCACTCTTGAATATGCTCGGGATCTTGTTGCAGACTTGCAGAGCCTTGGCAGCCACTTTTCAGACCTCCGGAAAGGTGTAGCGGAGGATGTGGATGACAATATTCAAGCCAGCAATACAAGCGTTTCCGAAGGTGAGCTTGAGAGAGAATCATCGCCATGTATGGACGAGAACAGATTTCCCATTCATCTTCAAACCATGGTCGCTACCTTCCGGGCCAAAATCTGTCTGTTCGCCCTCCCTAAACAACATCTTCAGAAGCCGTGGGGTGCAACGACAAGAGGACAAGCCTTTGTGGATTTCGTTGGGACGTTGCCTAGCAGCTCGCAACACAGAGAACTACAGATCATAAGAAGATATCTACTTCATTATTCGCTGGATGGTACGCTTATTCCAGATACATCCGCACCAGTTACCCGAGGCAGAAATTGAACCTTTCGTGGATGGAATGACCCATATTGGCGCAGTGGTGGACGAATTACTTAAGATCAAAGCTTGGACTCCTGAAATTTTCCGATCATTACCCTCCTTCATGCTCCGTAAACTCTTTCTGGATCCTATTCTTTCCTATTGTTGTCATTCAAGTACTAACTGCATCTGTCAGGTTTCCCCCTGGAGAAATTCTTGAAGAAAATGGCAATCCACTTCGAATTCAATCGATACGTTATTGAAATACGCCTACTCACCGCAACTATACAGGGGTAATTTGAAACGGGGCTGAAATTCGTATTTTGACATTGAAAAATACTCCTAGAAACATTTCCCTTCCTGATTCTCACCACGCATGAGATTTCCCGCACATATTAGCGAGCAATGGAGAAGCCTCGCTACTAGACGACCTTTCGGAGGTGGAGAGCCCGGGGTTCACGCTTCGGAAACGCTTTGATGGGAAGCAGAATATTACATGTGCTATACACTGTGAGTGCTTGCTAGCGCTTCATCTAGTCCGCGGAAGCCGATTAGGTGCTCAAGCGATTCCGTACATCGGCGTTTCCAAGCCATCCTGCCTTGCTTGCTGAGAGTTTCTAAAGAGTCTTCGCAGTGCTGGATAAGTCTTTTACACCAGGGGCTCACATGCCAAAGCATGATTCCCTTGGAAGTACCCGGATCTCGAGATTGAACAAGCGGGATTGTCTCTAGAGAAGAAATCGAATATTTTTAACTCTCTTCTTTCAAGTTTGTCCGGTGTCTATATAGAACGCTTGCAGATTGGAGAGCGCAACCGAAGACTTTCTGCTAGTTCAACCAAAGGAGTTTCCGGATGACTCATAGACCGTGTCTATTGACGGATGTAAATTTTAATATTATTAACACTTGTTGTATTTGTCGTTGGAGTGTTCCTAGTTAGTTGTTCCTGCTACTTACTACTGTTACTATTATTAGTTACTCCTAGTATATATATCCTTAGCTATTATTAGAGCCATCTTAGCTATTGGTTTTCCACACTGTCTACAACTCCTCACAAATCATCCCTCGTTCAGGGCTCGGGGTTGTTGGTTGGTGCCGGAGAAAGAATTGAAGCCGGGTTCTGCCCTGGAGAGTTTTGCAGGCAGAAGCCAGGCGCAGTGTTTGTCTTGTTTGCAGCCAATATCACCAAGCTTCGACCTCGCCTGCAGCAAAAGCAGCAAATAAGTAATAAATTGCTAACTAGACAGCGCCAAACCCCAGCACTCTTCTTCAACGAAGGCCCCGTTCTTGATACCCGCTGAGAAAGTTGCTAGTTACTTTAATTTTCAGTCTGCTTAAATATAATTTCAACAGATGCAATAGTCCTGGCGTTGGAATCGCTAGAAGTCTCCTCGCCATGGCTCTTTTCGGCTCCACAACCACCAGCACCGCGACGGCCAACACCGCCGGCGACCTCTCGAAAGATGTCGCCCTCACCTCTCCCCCCGAAGATAGCGTCTCACATCTTGCGTTTTCATCAGTGAGCGATCATCTCGCCGTAGCGTCATGGGACAAGAAGGTCCGCATATACGAAATCAACGAGCAGGGTCAGAGTGAAGGGAAGGCGATTTTTGAACATGAAGCTCCCGTCTTGAGCTGCTGCTGGGCTCCGGTACGTAGTTCGAAATATGAAATATATTCATAAAGATAGAACCCATGCTAACCATTTTACACCACCCAGGATGGTACCAAAGTCGTTGGCGCTGGCGTCGATAAAGCCGCCCGCATGCTGGACCTACAAGCAAATGCCACAACCCCCGTTCAAGTCGCCGCCCATGACGCCCCGATCAGATGTTGCGCTATGATACCCAATCCAGGCAACTCTGCCCAATCCCTCCTCGTAACAGGCTCATGGGACAAGACCGTTAAATTCTGGGACCTGCGCCAGTCGACACCGATCGGCACGCTCGAATGCCAGGAGCGCGTCTACACCATGGACGTGAAAAACAAGCTCCTCGTCATCGGCACTGCAGACCGCTACATCAACATCGTCAACCTCGACCAGCCCACCAAGTTCTACAAAACCATGCAGTCGCCGCTGAAATACCAGACGCGCGTCGTCAGCTGCTTCTCGGACGCCACAGGCTTCGCCGTCGGCTCCATCGAGGGCCGCTGCGCCATCCAGTACGTCGAGGATAAGGACTCCAGCTCCAATTTCAGCTTCAAATGCCACCGCGAGACCCCACCGAATACGCGCGACGTTAGTAATGTCTATGCGGTCAATTCGATTGCGTTCCACCCCGTGCACGGCACGTTTAGCACGGCGGGTAGTGATGGGACGTTTCACTTCTGGGATAAGGATGCCAAGCATCGGCTGAAGGGGTATCCGTCGGTGGGCGGGACTATTTCCAGCTCCGCGTTTAATAAAACGGGGAATATTTTTGCGTATGCGGTTAGTTATGATTGGAGTAAAGGGTATACGAATAATACGCCGCAGACACCGAATAAGGTCATGATGCACCCTGTCATTCCGGATGAGGTTAGACCACGTCCCGGCGCGAGGCGAACGAGATGATATGGTTAGTTTTTGGCTTCTTTTTTCTTTTTCTTTTTCTTTTTCTTTTTTTTTCTTATATATTTTATTTACGAAGAATAAAACAGAAATGAAAAACATTTTAAAATATATTTTTCAAAACGGTCCCTCGCGCCGAGAGCTTTTTAGTGAGAGGGGAGGCTGTTCTACCCCTTTCTACCCCTTTGCCCTCCTCCCCACAACCACACCCCCAAGTCTCGACGTAGATAAATGCAAAATCTTGTGTGTGTGTGAGGGCGAACACATGGGACGCGGGTCAAACATTCCGTCCGTACGGCAACGTAGGGTGGGATAGGAATTTTTCTTTTCACCTGCGAGAAGAGGCTCCCGTATATACTCTACACCTGCCCACCCAAAACCTTCCCCTTAGCCAAAGGTACTTGGGAGGGATGCGACGATAAGCTTCGTTTTGTTATTTGTCCCATACACAGATATGTTGTCAACGAAAGAAGGAGGGGGGGGAGTAGGGAAGGGCGTCATTGCTATCTCGGAGCAAGTCAGGGGAACCAGGGGAACTAGGGGAACAACGGGGAAATCGAGAGATCTTTTTTTTTTTTTTTTTTTTTTTCCTTGGTTGGGATCATGTTGTTCACGCCGGGCTCTTTTTATTTTATTTTACCCCTTCAATTTTGTTCAATTCCCAATCATCATCATTTAGCTAGATAGATAGTTGTTTCGTGATACCTCCCTTTTCTTTTGATGGCTATTATTTATTTATTCATTGTTCAAACTGCAGGACACTGGGGCGAAAAAAAGAGCTCGATCACCACCCCCGGCTAGGTAAATAAGAGGCCGAACCATTCCACGTTGTAGTCAACACAAACAATTTTTCCCCTCCCCTTTTATATTTTCTTTGTAGATGTTTCGAGAAGCGACAAAATGGTAGCTAGCAACCACCAATGCCCTCCTTTTGGCTGATTTACAGAGTAAGTACGTAACGTTACCTTCTTGCACTATGTCATCTTCTCTTCAACGATACTACTGCCGCGCTCCCTTACCTTGCTCATAATGGCAGTTAACTTCTTAATAGGAGAGAACGAGGAAGAGTAAAATAATTGATAAGTCTGATCTTTGCTTAAATATAACTAACTAGCACAGGTGAAGACACAAACATCAAGCAGAAAACGATTGCCATGCAACAGCCAAGGTAAAACATATCGCAATAGAAAGAACAATGACATGATCAGATAGTCTTGGGGAGCGGAAAAACCCGAAATGATCATAAAATCGCAAATACATTTAACAAACACCCCATACTACCTTTAAAACAAGTAGAGGAGAAAAAAACAAAACATCTAGTTTTATTTCAAAGTCTCAAGAATTGGAAATAGTAGTCTGCGCAACTCCATCTGCCAGCTTCTCAACAGCAGCAGCCTCACCACCACCACCACCCTGCTCCTTATCCTTATTCTTATTCTTCTTCTCCTTCTTCTTCGCCTTTGTCGCCGCCTTCTTCGCCAACGCCTTCGCAGCCTCCTCTTCCTTCTTCAACCTCTCCGCCTGCGACCCCCCGAACATTTCACGCCACTCATCCGCCTTCTTCGGATCGATCTGTGAAAACAAATACTTCGCCTTCCCAATCTTATGGCCCGGTTTGATCAGCTCGGGTTCCCACCCTTCGTCTTTCAGGTCGTCGAGCGATGGGATATTCGTGAAGGGCACGTTGAGCTGTTCGAGAATCGATGCCGAGGTCGCTGGCAGGTACGGGCTGAAGATACTGGAGATAAGGTAGATGAGGTTGACGACGATGCCGACGACGGCGGCCGCGCGCTCGGGCTCGTTGGCTATCAGGGAGTTATCGAGCTTGTTGGACTGGATCAGGCCGTTGCCGGCTTCGACGATCTTCATGGCTGTCCCGACGCCGGAGCGTAGGTGCACGCTTTCCATCTCCGTGATGTACTGGCGGAGTAAGGTGGTGATTTCCTCCAGGGCGGGTTTGAAGGGTTCCGTGACGGTGAAGTCGGGGACGATGGAGTTGTAGGCTTTCGGGCTTGCGACCAGCTTGACCATGCGGTTGACTAGGTTTCCCAGCTTTGCGAGAAGTTCGCTGTTGTTGGCATCGACGAAAGAGCGCCATTCGAACTGTGTATCGCCAGTTTCTGGCCGGTTCTTTAACAGGTAGTAGCGCCAGACGTCTGCTGGAACGCCTGTTTCCTGTGCGTTGTCACCGAAGACGCCGATGCCGCGGGACTTGCTGAACTTGCCGTTCTCGTAGTTTAAGTATTCGGTTGTGCTAAGGTGGTGGAGCTTGGTCCATTTATCCCTGGTTCCAATTTGGGTGCCTGGGAAGATGACGCTGTGGAATGGCACGTTATCTTTGCCGAGAAACTGGTACAGTTGGACATTGTCCGGATCTCGCCACCAGAGCTCCCAGTCTGGTGTGTAGTTTGCAGTGATGGAGGGGTATCCGATACATGCCTCGAACCAGACGTAGAGGACCTTCTTCTCATATCCTTCAAGGGGGACCGGGACGCCCCATTTCACATCCCTGGTGATACAACGATCCTTCAGGCCCTCTTTTAACCATGACTCAGTAATCACGCGGCTGTTTTTAGGCCAGTCTCCCTTTTCTATGGCAGGATGAACCCATGCTTCGATCTCCGGTTGCAGCTTATCAAGCATGAGGTAGATGTGCCTCGTATTGCGGAGGACAGGAGTGGCTCCGTCAAGCTTGCAGCGGGGATTTTTCAGTTCAAAGGGATCCAAAAGGTTCCCGCATTTATCGCATTGGTCTCCCCTCGCGTCGTTATACGCGCAGCGTGGGCATTCGCCCTCGACGTAGCGGTCCGCGAGGAACGAGTCATGTTTCTCACAGAAGGGGTGTTCGGCGGTCTTTTCTGTTAGGAACCCATTCTCATACAGCCTCTTGAAGATCTCCTGAGAAATTTCCGTGTGTTGAGCCGTCGGTGTGCGGCCAAAGACATCAAAACCAATCTCAAACCACTCGTAGACCTCCCGGTGGAGTTTGTTGTATTTTGCACAGAGTTCCTCGGGTGTCACACCTTCCTCCAGCGCCTTGGTTTCTGTTGTTGTGCCGTACTCATCGGTACCACAGACGTATAGCGTAGGTCTGCCGCATGCCTTCTGGTATCTGTGGGGATATTAGTTACCTTTTTTGCTTTAATATAGGGGAGGGCCACATAACTTGCGAATACATCTGCGCTGAGGACAGAGCCGACAATGTTGCCCAGATGGGGAACGTTGTTTACGTAGGGAAGAGCGCTTGTGATGAGGATATTCCTCTCACCCTTCTTGGGGAGGATCTTTTGTTCCGTCGTCATGATGCGCGTTATTTGCTGGTGGTTGTGTTGGTTGGAAAGAAAGATTTTGGCGGGGTAGAAAATATTTGTGACAAAGAGTTTGAGTCATTTCTGCGCTGACTTGATTCTTCCCCTCACCAACTGAACTGTGACTCCAACCCGCATCTTCGACGACGCCCTTCTTGTGACCACGGCAACGTTACGATTCCTACAGTTTCTGAGCAGCATATGTAACATATATAGCATATACATACAGCCGTTGTCACTTGCCATTGCTTCCTCTTATACGACTTGGACAATGGATCACGACCTGCTTGACAGCCTCCTGGACCTGGAGGGGGGGTTCTACAAGGAGGGCTACGACCTGGGAGCCACGGACGGCGCCCGGTCTGGCTACAGCGAAGGCAGTGTATTCGCCGTGGAGAAGGGCTTCGAGAAGTTCCAGGAAATAGGCAGGCTATACGGCAAAGCTATCGTCTGGGCCAAAAGATTACCGGGAGACCACGGCTTCCTGAACCTACCATCCACTTCAACCGCTACATCTCCACAAGATACCTCTGTCAAATCATCTTCTTCCTCCCCCTCGAAAGCACAGGGTCCTAATCGCGAGAACGATAAGGTAGATATCCTCAATTTGGGCACTACCCATACTCCCGCCACTCCTTTGCCCGCCTTACCCCCATTACCCCGCAACTCCCGTCTAGAGAAACATATCGCCAGCCTCCTCTCTCTCGTCGACCCGCTCGCGCTCTCCATGGAAAACTCCGAAGATGCCGTTGAGGATTTTGACGAACGGTTGAAAAAAGCCGTGGCGAAGGTGAAATTGATAGAGAGGATCCTGGGCGAACAGAATACCGTTGATGGTGGCTCGTCCGTTACCAACAATAAAAATAATAGCCGGGAAGGAAGCCGCCCTGTTGATGGGGATAGTATTGAGGATTTTGGGACGTTGCCGGCAAGGATGCAGCAGATTAAGGATTGAAATTGTGGCTCAGATTCATGAATTGGATCGGTCCCTTCCTTTCTTCTCTTAATTTGGGAAAAGGAGAGCTATTAACTGAGATGAAGCGTAGGAATTCCTTCAGACACACAAGGAAGGGATGGACTCTGTGCTTATGTCGGGGCGGGTCTGAAAATAGAAGGCCAGAATGCCTCAGTCCAGTCCTGTAGAGAGCCGGCCCGGGGGGGGGGGGGGGTTCTCATGGGCCATTCAACATTCAACCATTTATTTAAGAGCTCTTCCACGGAATGTTGGCCTTGGCCCGCCTAGCTAGCGGGGGAGGAAACCCGACAGTATTAGTTCCCTCCTTTTGCTACATCTTAGTTATGGCTACGGTTGTTATTTAACGGAGACAAGTCGATGTGGTACGGCTTCCGCATCAAGCGCATCGCCAGCGGGCGACTCCAGTTTGGGTGCTGACAGGGGTTAGTTATGACACAAGGGCTAATGGCCCGAGGATGGAAATATAACGGGTCTATGATATTTTGATTTGGCCTGTTGGCGCGTTTGAACATAACCGAATCCCCCTTTCCTTTCTTAACTCCGAGAATACGTCTTGAGAAATACCACACTATGTACCCATCGGCAGTGCAATAACCCTAATATTATTATCCCTACTCATATTTTCCATAACACAAAGCATAAATAACACAAAATGGATTCCCACACAAGCAAAACAAAACACATCCCCCAGTCTTCACATCTTACCCCAAACTCCTAACCGCCATCGCAAACGCGCCCTCCCTCGTCGCATGCCCCCCAATAAACCCATTCGCATGCACAAATACCGCACCAGGAGGTACCACCACACTCGCCTCCTCACTCGCCAACACTCTATCCAGATCCTCATCCCTAACCCCACACCACGCCTCCGGCAACGGCTTCCTGGACTCAAAACTCACATCCGTGACCGGTACACACTGCACGCGCCACTTGGCCTCCGGCGCCGTTGACTCCGGGTACAGCACGTAATACACCTGTCTCAAAAGATCCGCACCAGCCTCTGCCGCCGCCGCCGCCGCCGCCTCCTCCAGCGCAAACAAATGCTCCTTCCACGGAACCCCCGCAGTGGGCAACACCAGTATCTGCCCAGAGGCATGTGTGTCAAAGCGCGCCTTGTACGCCTCGCTCACCGTCGCGCGCGCAGGGAGCCATGAGCTACTCGCAACACGCAGTTTGCGCAGGAACGCGCCGCCAATGAACCTACTCGCGTTCTCGAAGAGGGCGTCTTCGTCCTGCGGCTCTGCCGCGGTGGGGTCTGGATGGTTCAGATCGCCCACGAGGGCGCCGAGATTGATGCCGCCGTCGCGGAAGCGTTTCTGCACGCCGGCCGCGGCGAGGGCGGCGCTGTCGTAGACGGAGATGCCGTTGTCGTTCGCGTCGAGCGCCTCGATGAAGTCTGTGTATAGCTTTTCGTACAGGGTGGCTACGTCGGGGTGGTGGACGGGGAGGGCGGTGTGTTGGGCTATGATGGCTTTGCCGAAGTGGAGGTAGATGAGGCCGGCGGAGGAGAGCTTTGTGGTATGTTGCGGGAAAGTAGTTGTGAAGGATCGCTGGTGGTGGTCGTAGCGGTTGCGGGCGGGGTCGTATTCGCCGCCGACGTCGACGACGGTGTGGCAGGTGGCTAGGAGGGAGGGGTCGCGGGTACGGATGAGGGGGGAGGAGGTGTAGGTTGGTAGGAGGCGGAGGAGGTAGACGGCTAGGGCTTCATCGGCGTGGAAGTGGCCGCTGGAGAAATGGGTTGAAGTTAGTTAAAACTATATAGAACTTAACTGCGTTTTTGGCGCATGTAGTTCGGGAATGTTGGGACGATACTTGTGAGTGCCGATTGTGGGAGGGGAGGTCCTGAGCCTCTTTGCGGCGGTTTCTTCGGCCATTCTGAACAAGGAACGTAAACAGAGCATACAACAGAGGCCGCGGATAATTGTCTGGTTAATGTTGTACGCAGGATGAAAGTAGTTCGCAGCTTCAATATCTATCTTGAGACTGACAAGATTCCAATGATGAATTGGCGGGCGGGGAGTTTTGACTTGGCCGGATTGGGGCAAGGCTAGGGCTTAGGGCTAGTTAGCTTACAGCGTAATCTACGCAGTTAGTAAGTTAACTAACTAGTTAACGTTACTCCCTACAGCGTAATCTATCTCTCTCCCTTTTTGACGTTATGGTAGTTCGCCTCTGGTTATAGAGCTACTACTGTGTATGTAATAATAATGATTAATGGATATCAGGGAGGGTCAGATGGAAAGACTATCGGATATGGAGCTGGACAATTGTCTCTATGCCTACACAGTGGTTTAGAAAACAAGCGGTGATACAAGTAGTTTTACGCTTCGTTCATAACCCCCATCCCATCCCATCCCATCCCATGATGGACCTAAAATTGTGCCTCGTAAATCTGGTAGAGCCGTCTTTATGGTTCGTCGGCAAAATATCTTCTTGTTTACTCTGTAGGCTGGGTTGCCTATTACTGTAGCAGACAAGCCCGGTGGAAAGAACAAATCGAAATAGAAATGAAGGGATTTATATATTTTTATTTTTTTGGAATTAATGGATAGCAAAACTCACCTCGCAAGCCTCCAAGCTCAGCATATAAAAACAGGTAGGTAGGTAGTATGAGATCCGATCTTCTTCCAAAAATGGTCAACGGTTCCCCCCAATATAACTATATATATATATGGCTTTATATGGCTTTCAGAGCAGCCTTCAGCCGATGGATGATGGGTGGTTTCATTTTGAGCAAGTGAGCAGGGATGATATTTTCGGGATCAAACAATTTGATAAATAAATATAAATATAAATGTGTTCTGATGGCTCTGGAGCAAATATCTCATGCATTTAGCGAGTTGTTTTGTTTTCCTTTAGTTATATTAGTTATTTAAATACTCCACGCGATCGCACCAATCGACAAAGCCAAAAAAAAAAAAAAAAAAAAAGAAAAGAAAAAGAAAAGATAATAATCCCTGGAAAAATATCCAAGATTCTGTTGCTTGACATAAATAGTTACAGAGAGAGAGTGAGTGAGTTGGATAAATATTGCTTGCTTGCTTATTTTCGTATATATTTATTTATTAACTCCCTTCTCTATTTTAACTTCATCCTATTTCCAACTCTGGTCTGAACTCAACTCCACAACTCACACTCGCTGTTCAATAATAATAATATTTAGTTTATTTAGTTAGTTGTTTAAATATTTAACCCCGGCCCAACCTTCTTCATCTTCACTCTAACCCGAACCCTTTACTTCTCGTCCTACTCCGCTCTGCTCTCTGCTGCATAGAATATTCCAGCTTCAACAGCTCATCTTACCCACCGCTTCTTCCTCCTCCTGCAGCCTGCCCTCCATCCGCCCAAAAACGTACCCGAACAGCAGATCGGAAACAGAACACGAGATATAAATACAAGAAACAGTAGTTACGGAGTAATACAACAACCCATTCCGCCGGCCACTCGAAAGAACCCCGTCGAAGCCTCCCCGCAAACTCGCTGCTCTTGTGTCGCTCAAAACTCCATTTCTATTCCCTTCCCCGCGGGGGGGGGCAGGCGGGGTTAAATGATCAGGAGACTTCGTGATGGTGACAGGAGGGAATGGGTGTGTCTCGTGTAGATGAGGTATGTGGGAGTTGTAAGGTTAAGCAAAGTCAGGGATGGAGAAAAAAAACAACGAGGTAACGCTGGCGACCTTTTATTTAAACATGAACGAAGGTCTCTCCCACCATCCTCAGACCCAAGACGAGCTGCTCGTGTGTCGTAGGTGTTGTTTTTCTAGTACAATATAGTGAAATGTGCCGACATGGCAGGAATTCCAGTGCTGCTCGAGG